TCTCTCTCTCTCTCTCTCTCTCTCTCTCTCTCTCTCTCTCTCTCTCTGTGTGTGTGTGTTTCAATCTCCAGCCCCTTGCCCGACCTATGAACCGTTGCGTGGTAGACAGACAGTACTATACAAACAGGGTACAGGAACTGTACACTCCCCATCTCATCTCCTAATGCCCACCATGCTGCCATCTCTCAGGAAGACAGACTGGGGCCCACACCTATGAGACACATGACAGAGGCATGTCACACAGTGACCTTTCCCCAATGAGGCCCATCACTCCTCCACCTCGCTCCCCTGGCTCTGCCCCCCCCCCACTTCCTGAACCCAGTCAGGCCTGAGCCAACAAGTCCACAGCCGCTCCCAGACTCAGGGCAAAGCCACAGAAAGGGTGAGAACAGGACTGACTGGTTCCACCCTTCCTCACCCATGGCCAACCTCTGGAATTCCCTGGGGCCAGGCACCCCACCCATTCACTAACACCCTCCTGCTCCTTAGTTTATGCTTCCCCATTTTCCTCAAACTCAGGCGTCAGCTAACTTTCTCCCAAGGATCTCCCACCAATCAAAGGTAACTCAGCACAGGCTACTAGTGAGAGAATCGACAGAAGCAACTGAGGTGCTAGCAATGGCAGCATCAGCCTGTTTTCTAGCCCTCGGAGACAGAGGCAGGAGAATCGGGAGTTTGAAGCCAACTCAAGAAAGATCCTGTCTCAAGAAAAAGTACACACACACACACACACACACACAAGTACGTACACAAACACCACACACGTACAAACACATAATACATCCACATACCACATACACAAAAATAACACATGCATACACAAATAACCTACACATACACAAACATGCATAGAAACACATAAACATATGTATACATATACACACACAAGCACACACATACACACAACCAGGCCAACCAGAGAAAGGCAAATAAGCCCCCTAAGCAAGCACACAAAATACCTGGAAATGACTGCTAGCAAATACCAGCAGCTTTCCAGGCTGGGCATCCCTAAAGCCCTCCCACCCTGACTGCCAGCCTTGGAGTCACCACCTCAAATTCAGGTGATAGTGGCTGACTCCCTTGCTACAGCCAGCTCTCATTAACAGTCTTCCTGTGCTTGGTACCATCTGGGTGGCCCCTGTTTGTTCATTCGTAACTTGGGTCAACAACCCCTTTTCACAAGGGATTCTCGGTTTAATAGCAAAGTCACGCTCAACAGTGGACAATAGAGATGTGGTCACAGCATCAAAGAGAAGTGGACAGGGCTCAATGAACTTCCAGTAAGAGAGAACGGCCAGCCTGGTTCTGAAATATAAACAGCACTTACTCATGAGGTGGGAGAAGGAAATGGGCAGTTTCTCCCCGACCTCTCCTCCCGCTTCCATCCTTTCTCTTCCCCTCCCTTCCCTTCCTGACATTAACTTCTCCCACTTGCAGCCCAGTTTTACAAGGGTTCTATTAGACATTGTGTCCACTCTTGTATTTCCACCTTCTCCCCCACTGAATAACGCCTGCAGTGCTAACATGTGAACAGATGAGCTCTTTCTTCCCCAAGGCCTGCACTGACCAGGCCAGCCCCGCTGACCTCTTCAAGCAACCCCGTGTGGCTAGGCAGAGTCACCAAGTCCCAAGGCTGTTTCTCGGCATACTGTGAGCTCCAGCTTCTGGTGTCCTTGGCGCCATTCTAGCCCAGGTGTCCCATCCAGTTGACTGCTGCATCTTTCTCCCGTTCCTGCATCTCCCATCTAAACTAGCTCTGCCCGCAAGAACCCATGCTTGAGCTGGCCATGTGGCACGCGCCTCTAATTCCCAACACCTCAGAGGCTGAGACAGGAGGGCTGTATCACCCCCGCGTTTTCTACCTTCAAGAAAGAAGTTTTTTGTAGAACTGGATGCTCTCTGTTCATAGGCGAAGGGAAACTGTCTACCTAAGGAGAGGAGTTAAATAAGGCAGCTCTGAGTTCATGTCCCCACATCCCCTCACACTTCCCAGATGGGCTGGAGGTGTGGCTCATGCTTAGCATACAAAAGCCTGAGTTTAATCCACAGCACCAAAGACATTTAAGGAAGAAGAAATTGTGAATGACGCCGAGAGACTGCTCATTCGGTTCAGCCAAATAATTCAGTGGACCACACTTAATACTTCCCTAGGCTAGAGTCTTCACTGATCCTAACCTGGGTTCAAGCATCCTCGGGTTTTTATTCACAGTCTTACGGGAGACTGTTGGCTAGTTCTGTGTCAACTTGACACAAGCTACAGTCATTTGGGAAAAGGGAACAGCAATTGAGAAAAAGCCCTAGATTGGCCCCGTGGGCAAGCCTTGCTGCATTTTTTTTTTTTTTGATTGATGTTGAAGGGCCCAGCTCACTGTGAATACTGCTACCCCTGGGCTGCAATGCTAGAGGGCCAACACTGCACGTTTAAATGACACAGGAAAGACATTAAAGTGCTTTCTACGGATGGATGGATGGATGGATGCAGAGATGCATGAATAAATAGATTAATGAATGAATGGAGGAATGGACTAAAGAACGAACTCTATTCCTATAAACTTTCTTATGCTTCTTTCTTAGCATTCTTAACATTGACTTCTTCGTGGAAGTGAAAAATATGAGAAGAGGAGGGGTAGGGATAGCTACAGGCCAAGAATTTGTCCTGCAAAAGCCACCGCGACCGGAAGCTGGGGAAAGCTAGTGGCTCGCCTGCCAACACGCTCCCACCCCGCGCGCCTCTACTCCGGGCTCGCACCCGCGCCCAGTCCTCACATCCCCACCCACCCCAGGAGGCGCGAACTGAAGCAGGGCCGCCTCCACCCACGCCCCAGTGTCCCCCGGGCGGGCAGCCCTTACTGTTCCTCGCCGCTCCTCCTCCGCGATTCCTCCACGCCCCGCGTCTGCGCCGCGGTACCCTAAACGGAAAGCGTCCCGCACGCCCGGGGCCTCGCACTCACCGTCGGTGCCCGGTTCTCCGCTGACACCGCGGGCCAGGCCGAGCAGCAGC